ATAAAGGACCGACAATTGCTGTAGGAAGAGTAAAGGATACAGAAGAAATACTTGGTGGATATAACCCGTTGTCGTGGGGTACTAGTGATAGTGGATATGTTTCAACTAGAGAAAGTTTTGTGTTTTCACTGAATAAGGATGATATTGAAAAGAGCATAGTAAGTTTTGTTCAGAATGAAAAGTATGCTATTTACGAAAAGTCGAATAGTTTGCCCGATTTTGGTCAGGGCTGTGCCTTATTTTTTGGTAGTTACTATAATTGTTATCATGCACCTGTCGCTAAAAATGACAGTGATTATCAAATTCCAATCAGGTCTAATGAAGATAGTTTTACATGGGTTGATTGGGAGGTGTTTTCTGTTGATAAGCTCATAGCTTAACCATTAGCTTATATTAAACAACTAAGTTTAATTGCGCCTGCCCAGCTTCGTCGGGCAGGCTTGTTGGGATAAATTTTTAATCATAGATTGAATTTTACATGACAAAAGATAAAAGTAAGCTGTAATTTTGTGACCAACACATTTGTATAGTTAAACGTAAGTCTATTTGTTAACTTTCTGTTTTTTACCTGTACTATTTCTGGTTGCATGTCTTTTTTTCTTGCTTAACTATAATATCATCGTCACTTTCTTGTTCTTCACTATTTCTGTAATTATCTTGTTCTTCAGCATTTGTATCTATATTGGTATTTGTCTTAGAAGTATTTTCATTGTTTGAAGACGAGAGAAAAGTTTGCAGATATCGCTCTTTTCTGTTTGGGGTGTCGTTAGGTATGATAACTGGAGACGGTGCATTTGTGGATTGTTCCTGCCATACTTGTGCAATTCTTTGTTTTAATGACTGATTTGCCGTTGGTCTTATTTTCAGCGGTTTCCAAGGGACTGTGATCCCTCCATCAGTATCCGTACGGGCTTGGGCTGAAATAAATTGAAATTCCAATGACTCACAATATAGCTGCTTTTCTAGGAAGAACAAAATTCCAGTTACATGCACCAACGAAAATTTTTTAAACGACCGTTAGTTGGATGGGTTAACATTATTGTGTACTTGTATAACCTGCCTTAGTGATATTGGCATAGTTTGTAGTATTACCGATTGAATGGGCAATTGGTTTTGAGATGGGTGCATGTTCTTCGTCTATATGTAACCGAATGCTTGTTGTAATTGTGACATTATAATTAAAGGAATTATCTTTGGCTGGTGTGAGATTTGTAACTTTGTACAAATTATTGTCCAAGTCAATTAAGCCATTATCTGAGTTTGCGTAAGCGGTAAACTTGTATAATGTAAATGCGGTTTTGGGGACCCTGGATGAGATTTACATAACATAAATGCGGTTTTTAGGAGATTTACATAGTGACAGGATTACATATGACACATATATCGATATTGGTCAAAATATTGGTATGTTTCCTCTAATAAGGAAATTACTTGGGGTTATAAATAATTTTCGATAGACTTGTAGTAAAAATGAATTGTAAGCATTAATTTCAATTGAATTTTGTATAAATAAAATACTCTATTTCCCTTCGAAAGCCTACACCTTGGCATTTTACATTTTCCACGCCAACCCCGCGGATTAACCATATTTATTGTGGTGGAATCCGGCTGAGCTGAAACCATGATCTTTCATTGGTTGATCAGATTCTCCAATCAGCCGCGACAATTATTATTATTGAACGCTAACGGGATCGAAATTTTATATTCCTATTGGCTAATTTCCAATACTATTAACGTTAATGATAAGTTTTCGAAACGTTACTATCCATTTCCGAGAACAAAAGAGTAGAGATAATGTGAGATGTGATTAAGGATTAGAGTGGAAGATGTGAACAGAATTCATTTCTTCTCATTTATTGATTCGACAGATAAGCATAACTCAATAAAACAATGCAGTCACTCACCATCCGAAAACGAAAGCCATAGACTCCGATCGATAACTCTCAACATCCTCGTCCATCTCCACTTTGGGCACATTTATCTTTCATAAATTCGTTCCATCCTTTCTTCTGCACCTCGCTCCATTTCTCTTCGCGTGTCAATTTCTTACATCTCTACACTCTCCCATATTCATAACGCCTGCGGTAAACTATTTCAATCCAACTAAACCTGAAAAAGAAAGGGTTAAAGTCTCTAGCTGAAGATTGGAAACAGCTATGGAGACTACGGGTGTGATCTTGTTAGCTGTCAGTATTAAAAGGAGAAAAACCGAAATTTGCTATGAAAGTCGGTACTGAAGGTCTTCAAAATAAATGGTTGAATTTGAAGTGGATGAGGTGGAAAAGAGAAAAGACGAGCATCATCGAGAGCGATTGTATAAAAATCAGAATGTAATGGAAGTGCTCGAACATACATAGTATACGAGAAAACGAAATACTTGACCTAAAAGACGATTACAAAGATGAGAGCCTTCTTGTCTTGTTAAACAGCGTTAGCCTCTACATCGCAAAGGAAACAATGTTCGCCATGGCTTTTAGTTTAAGTCGTTATATTCCTGGTACAATGTATTCGCAAGCAGTCATACTCAGTAAAAGTATAAGTATATTATATTGACATGTAACAATTGCAATGTTATGTTTCTTGAGAACAGATAAGACAAAACGGTGAAGTATTACTATCTAATACTGTATATGATATACATCAAAGTATAAATGCTTATTTGATTATGTACGACAAACGCTTCAGCCGAATATGTTAAAATTACTTGTTCACCCTATCGTAATTGTCTAATTGCATAATGTAAAATATAATGCGACAAAACTTCCGTCTAATTGTCTACTACTGCCCCATCTCCCCCTTTTACTACTTTTACCTTCCAATTATGTGTAGTGGTGAGCATGGTTAAAATTAAATGTGATAGAGAGAATTACTTAACGGAGTGTATTAGTATGTATATTTAAAATTACGTAAAAACCAAGATTATTTTTGAGTTAATATAATCCACATTTGGTATCGGTATAGAGCGAAGATTTATGTTGGTTGAATTTTAACTAACATATGCCAAATTAATTCATTATAGAACATGTTTTATTTCAATTTTAGACTGCCTTCTGTATGAATAGATTTAGCTTCGTGATGATGATGATGATGATGATGATGATGATGATGATGATGATGATCATGCTCATTTCGCAAGTGGGCTTTCCACTTCCACTTTTACATCTTCTTTTCTATCGTCGTCATTCTCCTGCCACTCTCTAAACCCGTTAAAGTCCCCGCTCCCTTCGTTTTTGCATCTATTTCAGTATTTTGCTTCTTCGCCTTCTTCTCCCTAGGCTCGTACTTGTACTTATTTTTAGACAAGCAAAACTATACCGCTCAGACTCTATCAGATATTATCCGTGACAACAGCAATAATTTCATCAAGAGCATAATCAATGCGACGAATACTTTAATCAAGATCATGTCGTCAACAGCGCACGAATTCATTCTTAACGAGAGGAGGGTATGGGGTTTTTTTGGTAGTTTTCTGGTCCGCTCTCGTTTCGGCCTGTTTGAGTTTTTCCAAACTCACTTTTATACTGTAGTCATTATCTGAACATCCATATAATTTCTCGTGTCTTTCACTTCCACAGAAACAACATTTTCATCTTCTACGAGAAACAGATAAAGAAATGCGTTTGGTCGCAGATCGTGTTGGCAGATTAGCTCTACGGCCGCTATCCTCTTGGCGAAGGGAAACCCGCGCGGTATGATGACATGTAAAAAGGTTTGCTGTTATTGGGGGGGGAGGTTTCAATGAGCGTGTTTTTGTGTAAAGTATTATATTATGCAATCGTTACTGGGTCACTTTTCAAAGTATAATTGATAAACCCAAGTCGTTATAGAGGTTCTTCACAGCTTATACCATTCCTCCAACTTGTTGACATCGTCAGAATGCTTTTTTATTTTCTGCAACGTCTCTTCATCAACGTCGTACACCCAATACTAATACCAGCCAGCAGCTAAAAACACAGAATTGTCATACATTTTGGTTACATTTCCTCTTTACCTATACCTCCCCACCACGTATCATTTCATTATCCAAACTTACGCTCGTGAGGCGGAACACCCAACCATTGAGGCGGTGAATCGTCCAGTCTCGCAAATCCAGCATACGCCCAAAATGCCTGTCCACCGAAAGAGCGCAATTTCTCGAGCGACAAACTTTGTTCATTAGTGAGCTGTAGTATTTATTGTCGATGCTGATGGGGAGTATTTGGATACAGGGAGCCAACCGTCTCTTGCAAGGCCTGGAGGATAGGATTAAAGATAGGAGAAATAGACGATGGGAAAACCAATATGGATAATAGTTTGAGCAATTTCTTACCATATTCTGCAAGATATACGGCTTTTCTAACTCTTCCGTAGACCGTTTATCAATAAAGTTCAACATGAAATTTTCTGCTCGCGAGTGATTCTCCGTTGATGGATCATTTGAATCGTAATATCCCCAATTTTCTACCCAAACGTGAGCACTTGCGTAATCTATGA